GAAGAGCTTTATATTGTGAGAATCACAAGACCCAGACCTACATTTTGATGCATAGAATGTCTCTGAAGTATTAAAAATGAAGGCACAGTCGCAGTTTAGAAATTGCCCTTCAAGTTTGAGCTGGCTTGAGTGAAGTTTCAATGAATGTCAATGGAAGGCGTGAGTTGCAAACAAATGGTCATATTGTGGAATCTATCAGGACTATGGCTTAGCCGTGGACATTTCTAGTGGCAGCAGGGATAGCTGAATGTTTTGATATAAGATTTGTGTAGGTGGGCCTGAAAATAAGGGAGTGGTGGCAGTTTAGAAATCATGTCCTGATTTTTCAGCTTTTGCCAGCTCCCACTCTAGCTTTGCCATTCATTCCTATGGGACAAATTGCGCCACAGGAACGACGATATTCCGTGAACCATTCAGCGAAACGTTCCACAAAGTAATAGCAATCCGATCAGGAACAATCTGCACGTTTTGGTAAATTTTTTTCTATGTAGTGTAAAAACTGTGGGAGGAGTTAGGGTGGCAAATTTGGCTATAATAAGAATAATATATATGTGAGATAACAATAAGTGTTCTTGCAAGAACACTTAATAACTAGAAAAGCTACAATTTTGGAAGTGTGTGGCAAGTATTCTTGTACCTCCACCAGTAGTCTAGCACATTCAATTACAACGTTGTTGCACAGTTACATTAAACCATACATTTATAAAAACATTAGCAGGTGTTCAAAAGGCCCTGTCTATGACATCACTTGCTGCTGCAGCCTTGACAGGTCAGAGTATTTTGGTGGTTGCCATCTTCAAACGGCCATATTTTAAAAACTATAAATCCTACAGCGAAGAGCTTTATATTGTGAGAATCACAAGACCCAGACCTACATTTTGATGCATAGTATGTCTCTGAAGTATTAAAATTGAAGTCACAGTCGCAGTTTAGAAATTGCAATTCAAATTTGAGCTTTGCAGAGTGAAGTTTCAATGAATGTCAATGGACGGCGTTAGTTGCAAACAAATGATTAGATTGTGAAAACTATCAGGACTATGGCTTAGCTGTTGACATGTTTAGTGGCAGCAGGGATAGCTGAACGTTTTGATATAAGATTTGTGTAGGTGGGTTTGAAAATGAGGGAGTGGTGGCAGTTTAGAAATCATGTCCTGATTTTTCAGCTTTTGCCAGCTCCCACTCTAGCTTTGCCATTCATTCCTATGGGACAAATTTCGCCACAAGAACGACGATATTCCGTGAACCATTCGGCGAAACGTTCCACAAAGTAATAGCAATCCGATCGGGAACAATCTGCACGCTTTGGTAAATTTTTGTCTATGTAGTGTAAAAACTGTGGGAGGAGTTAGGGTGGCAAATTTTGCTATAATAAGAATAAGAATAACTAGAAAAGCTACAATTTCTGGGGAAATTGTGTGAAGTGTTCTTGCCTGCACCAGTAGTCTACAACTGGAGTGGGCGGATTAACTGTTATCATTTATATAGCACATTTAATTGCAACAATGTTGCACAGTTACATTAAACCATACATTTATAAAAACATTAGCAGGTGTTCAAAAGGCCCTGTCTATGACATCACTTGCTGCTGCAGCTTGACACAGGTCAGAGTATTTTGGCAGTTGCCATCTTCAAACGGTCGTATTTTAAAAACTATAAATCCTACAGCAAAGAGCTTTATATTGTGGGAATCACAAGACCCAGACCTACATTTTGATGCATAGTATGTCGCTGAAGTATTAAAAATGAAGGCACAGTCGCAGTTTAGAAATTGCCCTTCAAGTTTGAGCTGGCTTGAGTGAGGTTTCAATGAATGTCAATGGAAGGCGTGAGTTGCAAACAAATGGTCATATTGTGGAATCTATCAGGACTATGGCTTAGCCGTTGACATGTTTAGTGGCAGCAGGGATAGCTGAACGTTTTGATATAAGATTTGTGTAGGTGGGCCTGAAAATAAGGGAGTGGTGGCAGTTTAGAAATCATGTCCTGATTTTTCAGCTTTTGCCAGCTCCCACTCTAGCTTTGCCATTCATTCCTATGGGACAAATTTCGCCACAAGAACGACGATATTCCGTGAACCATTCGGCGAAACGTTCCACAAAGTAATAGCAATCCGATCGGGAACAATCTGCACGTTTTGGTAAATTTTTGTCTATGTAGTGTAAAAACTGTGGGAGGAGTTAGGGTGGCAAATTTTGCTATAATAATAATAATAATAATATATAACATTATAACATTAAGTATCTTGCTATGCAAGAACACTTAATAATAATATATATGTGAGATAACATTAAGTGGTCTTGCTATGCAAGAACACTTAATAACTAGAAAAGTGAGATAACATTAAGTGGTCTTGCTATGCAAGAACACTTAATAACTAGAAAAGCTACAATTTCTGGGGAAATTGTGTGAAGTGTTCTTGCCTCCACCAGTAGTCTACAACTGGAGTGGGCGGAGTAACTGTTACAATTTATATAGCACATTTAATTGCAACGTTTTTGCACAGTTACATTAAACCATACATTTATGTCCCTTAGCTCAAAATCTTTTTGCCTGAGCCCAATGCTTTCTCAACACAACATTGGCCCTGTGGTCCCTTGCGAGCCACCCCACCACTCCCGTGGAACATAAAGTGTTAAAAATCCTTTACTTACTCACTTACCAATGATGGGCACCTAATGCGCATGCACCTTGAGCGCTGAAAGCGCCTTAGGACCTTCCCACATGGAAGCATTGGATCACCGTTAGACTTTCACCACCCAGTGTCCACTCCTTCATAAAATCATTGAAAACTTACTTCTTCAGGAGGGCATATCAATTTAACTGTTAGCAGGTTTTCATCCCCACACCCTGACTCCTCTCCTGCAACTGTCAAAAGGCTACTAAGCCTTTAGTGAATAATTTTCTAGCAACCTACTTAATTACCCCTACTTTTACCCTTTGTGTCCCTATACCCCACTCCCTCTAGCATGTTAACTCATTGAGCAGGTCCCTCAAACCTTCTGTTTCTGTGCGTCCACTTGTCTGGTTACAATTACATGTCCGTTAGTCCTCCCATTGTACAGCGCTACGGAATTTGCTGGCGCTATATAAATAATAAAATAATAATAAGCAAGGCATCTTTATGGGGAGCATTCTGCGTCTCCACACACGCTGAACATATGAAGCACCTCTAGTGACCATTTGATTGATTGCCACTAGAGGTGTTACAAGGCAACAATGTAAACATTGTCTTTGAAAAAGCAGCATTTACATTGAAAAGCCTGCACAGACATGATATAGACACCAGAATCACTACATTAAGCTGTAGTGGTTCTGGTGGCTATAGTGTCCCTTTAAAGTTTGCAGGAGTTGACCGGGTTGCAGAAGCAGCACATTGATAGAGATACAATTGTACAGCGCTGCAGAATATTTTGGTGCTTTGTAAATGCCATAAATAAATACATAAATGCCACTAATAAATACAGGGAATATAACACTCATATTCTTTTTGTGTAGTGCTGATCCCTGGACAGAGAGACCACAGAGCAGCTGCCAGGCAGCAGTAGGGGGAGGAGTGGCCACAGCAAAAGACAAAGGAAATTGACAATGGTGTGCAGAGCCGGCTGCATGCTGCCTGCTCTCTTTCACACTGCATCCTAAACAAGGAAAACTAGTCAGCCCTGAAAGACATTAACAAGCCGGCATCCTGACTTCCTCCTGCCCCTTGCATGAATACAACCTCCAAGGTACTGGTAAGGGAGCCAGTATCTTTTTTTTCTAGTGTGTGTGTTGGCCTTTTTGTATCTGTCTCTGTTTGTGCTGGCCTGTCTATGACTCTCTGTGTCTGATTTTTACTATCTGTCCCTGCTTGTGTCTGACTGTATGTGCCTGTGTGTACCTGTACATGCATGTCTGTGTTTTTCTCTGTGTATGCCTGTGTGAGTGTGTCTATGGCTGTGTGTGCCTGACTTTTTTGTTTGTTCTTGTGTTTATCTGTGTTTGTGTGTCTGCAAGAAGGGTGATGTCACACTACGTGCCACTTGCTTACTACATCAGGAATGACCCAATTTACTATTTATCTATTTCTACCAACAGCAAAACCGCCTTTCAAAGAATTGCAATGCAAGTAACAGTGTCAAACTGGGATGAGCAAATCTTCCAAGCAGAAACAGTCATCATACCAAAGGTGCAGTATAGAAAGGTTTTACATAATGCCCGGTGCACAGTGTAATAATATTTTTCTTTGCTACTTTCGCAGTGAAGCACTGTACTATATCTTTAAAGGGATTCTATAGTGCCAGGAAAACAAACCCGTTTTCCTGGCACTATAGGCTCTTGGAGTGCCCACCTCCCTCGGCGCTGAAGGGGTAAAACCCTTTCAGCCACTAACCTTAATCCAGCGCCATGCTCCCTCGGCGCTGATGACCTCTCCTCTCCCACCGACGTCAGATCCCGAGTGGAGCCAAACGCGCATGAGCAGCCAGAGGCACGCGCGCGCATTCAAACTCACCCATAGGAAAGCATTACTCAAAATCCCCTATAGGGATTTTATTTGATCCTGGACTCCATGAGGACATCCAGCGTCAAATAAGTGTGATTTACTTAGTGTAAATCGCAAAAGAGGCCTCTAGTGGCTGTCAGGGAGACAGCCACTAGAGGCTGGATTAACCCTGCAGTGTGAGTTCCTCAAATGTGAGTTCCAAATCCTGATTCTGATTTAATTTTTTATCCTTGGATTTACAATACTTCACTATCGGCAGTTCTCTTTGTGTTTTTTATTTCCACATAAACGGACAATTTTTAACCCGGACGGAACCATCTCCGAGGACTGCAATCATACCTGATATCAGTGAGACAGTTTTTTACATAATTTTATCCCATTTGGAATTTCTCTACTTTTTATTCATTTTTATTGATAAATCTGTACGGACATTATTTTTATATATATTTTAACTTGAATCAATCCATTAGTTTTTAGTACTTGTATATACATGTCTTACACTTATTGATTTCCGGTGAATTATCTAACAGCACAGCCCTAAACTCCTCTATTTATTTACCTATCTTAAAGGGTTTCTGAGGGATTCCCTTTGAGGGTTGCAGCTTTTCCGTTATTAAGCGCAGACTCTTCCCCCTCTACTTTTTAAAGTATGACATGGGTAGGGCCAACGGGATTGTCTGGTAGATGTAGAGAAGCCTAGGTAGATGTACATTTTGACAACTGCTATGCGTTCAAGCCATTAGATATAAAGATATCACATCAGGAGATCTTGTTATATTTTGTGTAGCAAGGGTGTAAAATTCCTCTGATAGAGGTCCAGAGGATCAGCCATTATCCAAATCCCCAGATATTTCATATGGGAAGAACACCAGTGGAAGGGCAGCTGAGAACAGAGATTTTCAGTCTCGGTGGTGGACATAGAGACTCCGAGCACCTCACACTTATATAAGTTATGCTTGAGCCCTGCCATTGTTCTGTACGTGTCTAGTAACTCGAGTAGGTGAGGTACGGTTGATTGTGGATTAGTGACAAAGAACATCAGATCATCGGCATATGCCGCCACCTGGCCGTAGGTTTTCCCCAGTGGACAGTGGAAGTCCTTGCACTATGTAGTAGGCATTGGCACATGCTGGCAATATATTTATTCTGGATTGTAAATTTTTGCTTTTCTTCATACGTAATAGATGCACTAAAACTGATAGAGGAGATTTGGGCACCTAAAGCACATGTGCAGTGAGTGTAACCCCATAGTCAAGCTTCCCCATAAGAAAGCGTTGTATTTAATGTTTTCCTAAGTACTTCCGTGTCACGGGTCTGAGTCAGTGCAACGGAAGCATCTTTAGTGGCTGTCAGTATGACGGCCACTGGAGGTCGAGTTAACCCTGCAATATAAACATTGCAGTTTCTAATACAAAATTCAGGGCCCCTGCACCCAGACCAATTCATTAAAAATAAAGTAGGTTGTGTGACTATAGTGTCTCTAATAAATATATATATTTTCATTGATTGGCTCTAATTCACACCTGTTTGGTTTGTCTTTTTCCCAAACATTTTGACTGGATGATATTAGGATGAACTGAATTGCCACATGGATGAATTTCAAACTACCCAAGCTAAAAATCTTTTACACCAAGTGGTTCGGCTGAATCAAATTTTTCCACCACGCACAAAATTAGTATCACCATATTCTCTTCTCATCTCTTGGTAGTCTTGCCTTCCAGGACTAGGTACAAAAAAAAAGTGAACAATGCACTCTCTGTGATAGATTTCTTCCACCAGGGTTCTCTAGACAGGGAGGGCAAGTTCACTACAAAACTCACTGGAAACATATACAAGATGTCCTATAAACTTAGTTATAGATTGAATGACTCTCAGAGAGCATTTCATAGGCACAACTCAGCGATTTGCACACTAGCCTCCCAATGCTTTCCTATCTTTTTACTATAGACCAATCTTGAGGATCTAAGCATCTCGTTATCGACAACATGGAGACCAGTGCACTATGGAATATAAGGGTACATAGGTAGGGGAACAATATAGCATTAGGAATAGTATGTATTCCTAACACCATAGTGCTCTATTAAAGTAACACTATATTCACCCAGACCACTTCATCTCATTAAAAGAAACTGCAATAATTACATTGCAGAACGAAGACTGCTTCTAGTGGCTTTCAATAAGACAGGCACTAGAGGCACTTTCTGGTTGCTAGTGGACTTTTGGTCCCCTAACTGACGCTGGACTCTCTCACGCTCTGCATGAGTACATCCAACGCAAGGAAAATCTCCATAGGAAATCATTGAAGCAATGCTTTCCTAAAGGGAGGGCCTAATGTGCTTTATGCGCATGCGCATTAGCACCCCCTGTCGGACACCGGGATAGGTGGAGTGCTGAGGGACATTGGTGCTGGAATCGGGTAAGTGACTAAAGGGTTTTTTACCCTTTAGCGCCACAGGGGTTCGAGGGAAGGGGGGACCAGAGGACTCTATAGTGTTAGGAATACAGATTTGTATTCCTAACACTATAGATTCCCTTTAAGATCACCAAATTACATTTAGGACAAGGCTGCCCAGCAGGTAGATCCTCAGATGTTGTAGAACTACAACTCCCATGATGCTTTGTTATTCTAAATGTATTCTAAAGGCATGCAAAGTTGTAGTTCTACAGCATCTGGGGATCTACCTGTTGAGCAGCCCTGATTTAGGATATCAAACAATGGAACAGCCAATCTATAAGTTTTCCAAACACTACTAATGGGGAATAGGAGGGGGTAGTGTGGACTGATGTAAATCCTGTTATAGAATTAATTAAAATATACAATAGGTAAAATACACCAATTGGCAGTAATGGTACCACCACAGATAATGGAAGAGGACATCTTAACACTGCTCCAGCTATCTGTTAGGAATATAATGAACATGTTGAGTAACAAAGTGATGTTCCTTTACTTTAGAAAAGGAAGTGATTTTATTTTGCAAGTTATGCAACCTCTTCCTACCAGAGTGCTTGTTGAGAAATATTTGATAGACAGTTCCGTTTCTCGTGGTGAGTGGATGGGGCAACTCTCAGGGTGTTGCACATTAAATGGATCATATTTGGTTTTAATATTACCAAACCATGTAGATACTAGGAATTGTTCTCCTATTAGACACAGCTGGGTCTATTTGCCAAATAGTGAATTGTGATGAATTGATACCAAATTGCAAAATATAGGCCAAAATACCTGTTACTCAAAAGTGTACAAAAAATCCTTGACTTTTCCTTTACAATTCAATTTTTTTCTTATTTTTGACTTTCTTTCTTTTTCTTTTTCAAACAGGTAACATAGAAATCGTGTTATAGCATTGAGCGTATATGGATGAACATTCGCAGAACAGTTAAACGTTTAGCTTTTGGTAGTGAACAGAATCAGGTACAGTCAGTTCTATTTTGAGGGGATAAGAACGTGTTTCCGTATTGGCTATCTATTCTTAGTGTCTGTGATTGCGAGTTTTTGGGTGTATTTATACCTTTGCATTTACTTTTGTAAGAGCAGGTAGGGTGGATTCTCGGGTGGAGTTAGTGCTGTCATATGTGCTGTTTGTGTTTGGATGTCTGTCTTCATTTTGCATCATGACCCATTGTCTTGCTATATTTTTATGTTTGTTTTAATTGGTTGTGAGCATATTCTGGAACTCGTCTATTTAGCTCATTTCCCACCCAGGCAGCCAAGCTTTATTGTATTTCCATTGTGGTGTTTTGCCTGTTCTGTTTTCTTCACCCTAAGAGCTCGAGTGATCGTTGTAATCGTTTGTGGTTCCTTTATATGCGTTATGCTGGGTTTTGGGTGTAGGCTGTTTATGTGGTAGTGTCCAATTATGTCATCGTTCTAGTACTCTAGGGTTGTTCAAGGTGTCAGGTTAAGTTTACTCCTGGTTAGTGGTATCTTGGTCTCTTTCGGGTTAGTGTGCCTTCAAGTAGCTCTTTCGTTGTTGGTGGTCCCTTTGTTCCCCTGTGTGGATTAGTCGTGTCCTACATCTTGTGTGGTGGTGTGTATCCTTTTAGGCGTTCTTGGTTTGTGTTCATCGTGTTTGGTTTAAAGCAGATCGGGGGGTAGTCTGCATGTTAGGTGAGCTAATTGTCATCTCTGTTGGGTTTCGAAGTCCTTTACCGAGCTTAGTGTCGCGTCTTCTCTACCGGTTGATTTTTCCTGCTTCCTCCCTGTCTCGTGTAAGTCTATGAGAGTACTAGGTCAGCTAGCTTCTCTACACAGTTTGTGCATGCCTTCCTCTGTCTGTCTTTCCTTCATCTCTATCTCTAGGTGTCTGTTCTGTTATGGTCTAGCTTGGGTTGTTGTGAGTTGTTTTCGTTGTGCGTCTCTGTTGTATGTCTGTGTTTCGATTTTTAATTCACCACAATTCACTGCTTAGTGAATAAACCCTGCAGTAATTTAAAAGAAGTAAACATTCCTACAGTATGTATACCACTATCAACAAGACCACATATGATTTGCTAGGCAGATAAGAAAGCAGGATATGTAGCATTTTACATTCCTCTGTTGGAACCTATCCATTCCTGCAAATCCATGTTATGTATGAAAGTATGGAACTTTGCATGTTACATAGGTCAGTGCATACTTTAACCCCTTAAGGACACAGGACGGAAATAATATGATCTATCAGCAGCTTTGCAGAACAAATGCAACATTGAAGGTACATGATAAATATTTCAGGAATTATTGACTTACGCAATAATGACTTCATAGAAATATAGTGGACCATAGAAGCTACAAATCATAGTAGACCTCTGAGCAAGGAGGAGTCAAGAATGTTTTGTCATTGATCACAATTTCTAGACAAATACTTTATATTGATCACATTCCTGCCTAACTGGTTTTCAACACAATGCTAGTGATCTTTTCAGTTTCATTTATTGTATTATGACTGATCTTGTTGGAAATGTAGGTTGAAAGGTTGCTAGTTACATTGGTTAACTTCACTTCTGCATGTACATTCAGATTCTGCAGTCATAGTGCATAAATAAGTATCTCCTGATGTAAGTTTTACCCAGACTGATCAATAAAAGGGGTATTTTAAATGTAGCTATGGCCATATTATTCCCTTTTGCAGACACAGAAAATATGTAAACTGGAAGACTGTAGATTGATTTTGGAGGGGGTTAGTTACAGTAAGCTACGTTACAAAATTGGTCTCTGGAAAATTTTTCATGTCATTCTTCAGAAAATATCTGTTGGATCCAACAGGGTTAATCTACCAGGAAACATATCTCATTAAAGATATTGATTGATCATTTTCCAGCCCTAGAAGCTCCATTACATTTATAGAGCAGAAAGAACAGAGGGAGCGAGACTGTGTATCGTCAATGGGTGAAAAAAAAATGGGTAATATGGTAAAAGGGGGATGAACTAAGGCAATATGCAAAGGTGGAGTATAGCAATGAAAATAAAATGGAGACTTCTCTGGGTAGGGAGCTGGTGACATAAATGTGGCATATGGATGGGGTGGGGGGGTAACATAGGGGGAATATGGCTATGGGTAGGAATGATAGAGACATTAGAAATTATGGGAATATAGCTGGGACAAGACTGGGAAATAACTATAGGAGGTATAATATGTTTAGAGGGGAAGAATCAGCAGAAGTCACAGAAAAGGACATGAAATAGCTGGAGAAGAGACAAAGGAAGGCAAACCTTGTGAGAAGCCACACCAAAGAAGAGAAATATAAGGCATGGAAAGATGTAAAGACAAAAGAGAGTTAAAGTGAAAGACACCGTGGTTAATTCAAGGCACAGAGAATAAAGCGGACAAAGGAGACAGGCATGCTGTGGGCATATGGGACAAAATTCAAGGGAAAGACACTGTGAATAGGACAAAGAATAAATAGTATGGAAAATAAAATGCATACAGAAAACAATATCTAAATGTGCTATATACGTTTATGTACACACATAGATTGCATAGGTTTGTGGTGCTGTTAATGTTACAGTGCTTGTGTATGATTATCAAACAACATGTGAATTTGTTAAAAGTTTGCACTTCAGTCACCTGTAATGAAGTTCACATTTTTGCATGGTAGCTACAGGGCCAGCACAAGGCATTGTGCTGCCTGGGACCAAGAATGAAATGCTGACCCCCCTCCAACAAAGCCACACCAACCAAAGCATGTCCATTATGTTTTGCAGTGTGTGTGTGTGTAGTGGATGCAGTGGCTTCAGTGTCTGTGTATTGCATTGCGTGTGTGTGTATAATGGATGCAGAGTATTTGTGTGTATAGTGCAGGGCTTGACAAATTTGCTTTGAATCTAGGAACCAGCTAAAAAAGTTAGGAGCTAGTTTTTTTTCCAACGACAAACATTCAATTCTTATCAGAACACTATAGTCACCAGAACCACTGTAGCTTAATGTAGTGGCTCTGGTGGCTATAGCCTGTTCCTTTAAGAATTGTATTCTTGCTTTTGATAAACACTGTTATTAATGGTAAATTTTCAAGCTGGACAGAGGTGGCAAGTGGTGTCTCTCAGGGGTCTGTTCTGGTTCCCCTTCTATTTAACATATTTATAAATTATCTTGAAGACCGCATTGAAAGTCATGTTTCAGTGTTTGCAGATGACACAAAACTTTGTAAAATAATACAATGTGAGCAAGATATTACTTTGCTGCAGAGGGATTTAGATAGACTGGGGGACTGGGCACTCAAATGGCAGATGAAATTTAATCTTGAAAAATACAAAGTTATGTACTTCGGCGTAAAGAATATACAAGCAACGTTTACCCTTAATGGAAGCGAATTAGGGATAACAACACACAGAAAGGACTTGGGAATTGTTATAGACAACAAACTATGCAACAATGTGCAATGTCAATCAGCAGTGGCCAAGGCCAGTAAGGTATTGTCATGCATGAAAAAGGGCATTCATTCTCGGGACGAGAATATAATTTTGCCTCTTTATAAATCACTGGTAAGACCCCATATTGAATATGCTGTGCAATTTTGGGCACCTGTTCTAAAGAAGGATATTATGGCACTAAAAAAAGTGCAGAGGTGGGCTACAAAATTAATAAAAGGAATGGAACATATCAGCTATGAAGAAAGGTTAACAAATTTAAAACTATATAGTTTAGAAAAACATCGCCTGAGAGGGGATATGATAACATTATACAAATATATTCGGGGCCAATACAAACCATTGTGTGGAAATCTATTCACAAACCGGACTTTACATAGGACACAAGGCCTGCTCTTAGACTGTAAGAACAATCAGGATGTGGAATTCTCTGCCTGAAGAAGTGGTTTTATCAGAGTCCATACAGATGTTCAAACAGCTACTAGATGCATACTTGCAAAAACAGAATATTCAAGGATATAATCTTTCAATGTAGGGTAATAACTGCTTGATCCAAGGATAAATCTGCCATTCTGGGGTCAAGAAGGAATTTTTTTCCTAGCTTGTTGCAAAATTGTGCTTCAAACTGGGTTTTTTTTGCCTTCTTTTGGATCAACAGCAAAAAACAAATGTGAGGAAGGCTGAACTTGATGGACACAAGTCTCTTTTCAGCTACGTAACTATGTAACTGTCTCCTAACTAAAGTTTCTCCTATCTTCATTTAGCGTCTTCACGCTCTGCATGGAGGCGCTGAATGTTCCCCATGTAGATGCATTGATTTAATGCATCTCTATGAAGAGATGCTTATTGTTGCATTATTTTGCCGTGCATGCTCAATAGCTTCCCAATGCTTTCCTATGGGAAAGAGTGTGTGTGTGTGTGTGTGTGTGTGTAGTGGATGCAGAATGTGTTTGTGTGTGTGTATGTATATAGTGGATGTAGTGTGTGTGTGTGTGTATATATATATATAGTGGATATAGTATGTGTGTGTACAGAGGATGTAGTGAGTTAGTGAAGTGCATGCAGTGTGTTTGTGGTGATAAGTAAATTTGTGGGGGTGAGTAGTTTTATTAATTTTTTTAACTTATTCCCCCCTCCATGCCTCTTACCTGTGGACAGGGAGGGGGGACACATGATTCCCTGGTAGTCTAGTGTTAATGGAGGACAGTGGGGATGGGGGCCCTGACTTGAGAGTAATCAATCATCCCCAGCAGCAGCAGGTACTCTTCTCTCAAGAACTGCAAGAAAATTGCGGTGGGTTGCCATGGCAACACTACAACATACATTGCGTGCCGCGCAGAGTGTTGCCATGGCAACCTAAGGTAACGCTCTTGCGGCTTGCAAGAGAAGAATACCTGCTGCTGCTACTGGGGATGTTTGATTACTCTCAGAGCCCAGAACTGCACACACGGCGGAGCCTAGCACCGGACCGGAGCGGACGCACATTGCCGGAGCTCCGAGCTAACGCACGGCAATCCAGCCACATCGGAGGCATCCCGCAACAGCCGATGCCGTTTCTCCTGACGCCCGGCTCGAAAAATAGACGCCGAGGCGGCAAGGCCTACCGGGCAGGGAGGCAACCTCAACCCAACACGGGAGAACATTGGCCCTGGAGTGTCCCAGACTTTGAGGACTGGTACCCCAGCACACACAGCTCAGGTGAGATGGGGCGCAGAACGCAGAAACTGCCCCAAAACGCCCCAAAACCGCAGCGCGACATAGGCCAAATGCTACAGGCCCCAAGCGCAGTAAAGACACAGACCCCCCGTGAAACCTCCCCAGCACCATCAGAGGAGGAAGAATCGCTAGATAGCCCACACCTCAATCCCCAACACCCCACACACACGTGGATGCCAGAAGCCAGCGCACCGGCCTCCAAACAAGATATACAGGCTATGCTGACAGGCCTGCAACAGAACTTAAGACAAATGTGGGAAGCGGACCTGGCAGTGCTTAAACTAGACGTGCACGCCGTGTCCACGCGCACTCAAGCGGTAGAAGAGGAGGTAAAGGGACTAAGAGAGAACTACCAGGAATTGGGGGAGACGGTGCGACACCTTCAAGCTGCACAAGCAACAATGTCCAGGCAAGTTACTCTCCTAGATGATAGGGGGCGTCGAAAAAACATAAAAATCCGAGGGGTACCTGAATCAATACCGCTGGAAGAGTTGCCACATTTCATCAGACGCCTTGTGGCCACACTCCTGCCAACTAGACAATCCAAAACGTTCCAGTTCGACGGGGTTTACAGGATAGCCAAATCCCCACAAGCACCCAACTCAGCCCCAAGGGACATAATATTGAGATGCCAATCAATGTTGGACAAACTGGGGCTAATGGCAGCTATGCAAGGGAAAACACCTCTTGACTTTGAAGACAGCAAACTCTCCTTCTTTCAGGACTTGAGCAGGGCCACACTGATGTGGCGCAAAAGTATGCAACCAATCACCAAACAACTCCAAGCCGCAGGAGTAGCCTATAGATGGGCAACACCAGGAACTCTCTGGATCACTAAAGATGACAAGCACTACAGAGCTACCGACCACGCAGAGGGCCCGGCACTGATGACCGCAATGGGAATATCGAACCTCGCAGCGACCTCTATGACACAGCTGGCTCATCGACCAGGGACAACGAGCACAGACTCATCCGCAACCCCTGGAATAAGCAGAGGCCCGAAAACTAAAACCTGAACGAATTGCCTTACCGACGGCCTCATAGGCCTTAGTTTCACTAGTTTAAATATTTTAAGTTGATAAATCTGTTCATTTAAGTTAAATGTAGTTCTCCCACATTCTGACGGCTATAACAGTGCTAAAGAGACCCACCAGAGCCACGCACACTAGCTCCGATAACAATCCCCCCCCCCTCCCTTGGGTTAATGGGAAACGACATCAAAGGCGACATAGTAACCCTGACTGGCATCAAGCTCACCGCGAGGTCTGATGCCCCAAGGGCACAACTTGATCCGGTCACACTACAGCGACCTATATATATACATAGACACGATTTGTAGTTACCACTAGGGCCACAAAGACACCTTGAGCACCACACACATGGGCACCCACCAATAGCTACAACCAGGGAAAAGCAAAAGAGGAGTGGACATAGTCCTAGAAAGGGCACCATTAGAGGAACCCCGTAACTACCGCAATCCGCTTCCTTATCCAAACTCGAAAGGGTCAAGAGACACACCCAACACCCATAACCTATAGTCGCACGACCTGGAATTGGGACCAGCCACTGGACCTAGCAGTAAATGCCTTTCCCCCTCCACCCACGACTCCGCAGACCTTAGGGTGTCTTGGGCAGACAGAAGTCTTCCACCCCCACAGTTATTAGATTTTAAAACCTCACTATAACAATGTGACCTATTGTAAATATAAAATGTGTGTGACTAGCACACAACAATGCCTTGTATTTAAAATGTACTGATTCTAATCGTTGTGTCGAGTCTGTTGTGGCCAACTTCATGAATATGTTATCTTTCCACATGAAAAATAAAGAATAAAAAAAAAAAAAAAACAACTGCACACACACACACACACACACACACACACACACATAGCGGTACACGCTATATATATATGTGGAAATAGGCAGCCCGGGCCCTGCTCCAGATTTCTTAAAGGCAAAATGCTGCCCCTGTCACAGTGCCGCCTGGAGCCGTGGCCCCACTAAGACCAATGGAGGGGCCAGCCCTGGTTAGCTAGGATCATGAGGCTTGTTTTAAGGGCTTTCCTACTTGCACACAAAGTACTATTTATTCATTTCCAGGTTATAGTCAGGGCCAGATTAAGAACCCATTGGGCCTGGTGCAGACAATTATGATGGGCCTAATTACAGAATTTTATCTACAGAAAACACTAAAACAGTTATACCTACAAAACAACATGTATCAGGTGGATGCTGTGCTGGAGGGAAACTTACAGGATATAGCTATCAGAAGTAACATACCCTATGCTAATCTCTCGCTTTCATCTTTCAAATAAATCCATCCCATCCCATATCCAAATCCAAATCCAAATCCATAACAGCACAGTCTGGTGAAGCAGGATTTCGGTGGGCGGGGTAAAAGGGTGGGACACTGATGTGAATCATGTAACCAGAACCGACCAAAAGGAAAAACATGCCCAAAAAGGGGGCGTGTCAGCAGAAAGAATTAGATGGTCAACCTGACGTTAATGCACGTCAGGCTGCCTGCCAATCATGCATGATAACCAACCAAGGACATACTGTGCAGACAGCACCCTTAGCTTGGCATAAATGCGTCTAATGATGCGTTGGCTCTACGCTTTCTAAGGACTGTCCCCTAGCACTCGCTGGTCCCAGTGGCGTACTAAGAGGGGGTGGTCTGTCCCGTGTGCCTCCTGGTAGGGGGCTGCCACCAGAGCTGGCCTTGGGGAGGTGTGAGCAGTGTAGCTGCACAGGGTGCCATGGCAGCAGGGGAGCCGGGCAGCCGACACATGCAGCGCAGGGGCCTGGATGCAGGAGCTGGATGATTGCATGGAGAAGTGGGGGCAGAGCCAAACCTGCAGTGGAGGTGGAGCCAAATTGGCAGCGGGGGCCTCCACTGCTACTGCTGCACACAGAGGAGAAGCAGGAATGAGTCCCTGCTTCCCCAACACCCAGGGCCGGGTTAACATAGGGGCTGATGGAGCTGGAGCTGCAGCTCCAGGCCCAGGCCCATGGAATAGGCCCATTTTAAAAAAAAAAAAATTTTTTTTTTTTTACACAGTACTCTTAGGTTTGCCACCTGACTGGTATTTTACCAGCACAGCCGGCATTTGAGGATGCCTGGCCGTTCCAGTAATGCAGTAATACCAGAAATGCAAATGCAGATATTTTTCTCAGTATAAATGGAGATTACTCTGCAATACCAGCACCAGCCAGCAGGGGTCGCTGTGTGTGTGGAGAGAGGCAGGGATAGGAAGTTACAGCATATCCCTCCCTGCCTCTCTCTACTCACTGATCCGCTGGGGAGCAGCTACACAGCACAAAGAGTTCAGACAGCAGCTCCCAGCCTGCAGAGACAGACTACAGCTCAGAAAACATGGGGATACCGAGACACTAGGGGACACTGAGACACTAGGAGATGCTGTGAGACATAGGGACATTGGGAGACACATTGGGACATGGGGACACAGTGTCTACATGTCTCCCAGCCAATGTCCCTAGTGTCTCAGTGTCACCATGGCTCCCATTGTCCCCTAGTCTCCCAGAGTCTGTGTCCCCATGTTTCTTAGTGTCTCATTGTCCCCATGTCTACCAGTGTGTCCAAATATCTGTCTCCCAGTGTCCCTAGTGTCTCAGTGTCCCCATGTCTCCCAGTATCCCTATATCTCCTAGCCAGTGTCCCTATGTCTCCCAGTGTCTGTTTCCCCATGTCTCTCAGTGTCCCCATGTCTCCCAGTGTCCCCAAATATCTGTCTACCAGTGTCCACATGTCTCCCAGCCAGTGTCCCCAATTTTTTCAGTGTCCCCATGTCTATGTCCACAAGTTCCCCCACGCCTCAGTATCCCCAAGTGTCTCAGTGTCCCCATGCCTCCTAGCCAGTGTCCCTAGTGTCTCAGTGTCCCCATGTCTCCCAGTGTCCCATGTCTGTATCCACTAGTGCCCCCTGTCTCCCAGTGTCCCAAAGTTTTTCAGTGTTCCCATGTCTCCCAGTGTCTGTCACCCAGCCAGTGTCCCTAGTGTCTCAGTGACCCCAATTTCTTCAGTGTCCCCATGTCTCCCAGTGTCCCCATGTGTATGTCCACAAGTTCCCCCATGTCTCAGTATCCCCAAGTGTCTCAGTGTCCCCATGCCTCCCAGCCAGTGTCCCTAGTGTCTGTGTCCCCATGTCTCTGTGTCGCTAGTGTATGTGTCCCCATGTCTCCCAGTGTCCCCATGTCTGTATCCACTAGTGCCCCATGTCTCCCAGTGTCCCCAAGTGTCTCACTGTGTCCACATGTCTTTGTGTCCCCTAGTATCCTAGTGACACGGGAAACACTGAGACATGGAGAAAAATGAGGACACTGAGACCCTGGGAGACTAGGGGACTGGACGACATGGGGACACTGACACTTTGATATATAGGGACACTGATGCCAGGCTGGCCTTCCAATTCTTTGGACAGACATGCCTCCTTTTTGGGCATGTTCGCCCCTTTTGGCAGTTCTGGTCACATGATTTGTGGCAGTGGCCCACCCTTTGACTTCCTGCTTCACTGGATGCTGCTGTTAGGGGGTATGGATTTACTTTAAAGTTGAAAGCATAAATTAGAGAGCGATTAACATAGAGTATGTGTTTTTTCTTATAGCTGCATCCTTTGAGTTTCCCTCCAACACCATCTCTATCAAATACATGACGCTTGGGAGGTATGACTGTTTTAGTGTTTTTGGTCGATAAGATTCTGTAATTAGGCCCATCATAATTGTCAGCACTAGGCCCACTGGGCTCTTAATCTGGCCCTGCCAACACCTACACACCAGGAACTTCAGTGAGTCCACTCCTCCTCCAGTAAGATAGTAGAGGGGGGTGAAATATTTGACAACCCTACCAATTTGTTGATTACTCTCCAACTCACTAACACAAAGAAGATCAATAGGGAAGGTAACCTTTTTTCCAAGTCTCTACTACAATTATTATAGATACCTGCTTTTATTCCAAGGAGACACTGTGGTCCACTCTAAGTTTTAAAGGTCATATGGACCACCACAATGTTTTTATTTTACTTTTTTGTTTGTTTGTTTTATTGCTGCAAATGAGTGGTACTCTGTTCTCTCTGCATGGATTGAGGCAATTTTAGTCACTGATTGTGTAAAGTTTTAATTGGCTCTTTTCATTTCCTAGGTAGTTGTAATTAGCATTAGTTGCACAAAGTTGATATATAATTAATTTTTTGTTGTTTATTCAGGTATATTGTTTTTCCCAGAAGTATACAGCAAGCATTAAACTGTATTACTTTTTTTTTTTTAAATTAATCATTCATTTACACTATCGTGATATAATAATGCTTGTACTTTTGCATTCAAGAAATTTGTATATCTTAAGACATGTACAATGCGTATTTCAATAATTAACTCACGCAAATCTCATGCTTCTTGGTATATTTTCTTTTCATTTTTCTATGAATAATAATACTTGAAAAAAAATAATAATAAAAAAAAAAAAAAAAAGCAAATGAGCTCAACAAAGAACCACATTTTCCCATCATAATTCCACTTTATACAGGTTCTTTGTTGCTCATTTGCATATGCCTACCCAGAATCCCTTGCAGCAGTGAGAGCACTGTTAAAGTGAGATATTTGTGGTAAAAGAAAGTCTAATGGCTTGACTGGTGTATGTATTTGTGTTTATTATATACACACACACATATACATAGGTTTTAAAAATATATAAGAATGATAAAATTAATGAGGCTCTATACACATTTTTTTATTATTAATATCAAAATCTCTTCTGTATACAAGTAGGCTAGTATACTAAAGGATAGCTAGAGGAGCAGTGTAGGGGAAGGGGGAGCCCAACAGTGGGCAATTGGCCTGGAGTTCCAAATGAGCCCCTATGGTTCAGGGTAATAACATATACTTAAACCTAGCCGTCCTTTAAAGGACCACTCTAGGCACCCAGACCACTTCAGCTTAATGAAGTGGTCTGGGTGCCAGGTCCAGCTAGGGTTAACCCATTTTTTTTTTTATAAACATAGCAGTTTCAGAGAAACTGCTATGTTTATAATTGGGTTAAGCCTTCCCCCAAAGCCTCTAGCGGCTGTCTCATTGACAGGCGCTAGAGGCGCTTGCGTGATTCTCACTGTGAAAATCACAGTGAGAGCACGCAAGCGTCCATAGGAAAGCATTGATAATGCTTTACTATGCGACCGGCTGAATGCGCGCGCAGTTCTTGCCGCGCCTGCGCATTCAGCAGACGGGGAGGATCGGAGGAGGAGAGCTCCCCGCGCGGCGCTGGAAAAAGGTAAGTTTTACCCCTTTTCCTCTTTCCAGAGCCGGGCGGGAGGGGGACCCTGAGGGTGGGGGCACCCTCAGGACACTATAGTGCCAGGAAAATGAGTATGTTTTCCTGGCACTATAGTGGTCCTTTAAGGAAATTTAATTATTTCTAATATTCTATCAAATGCAATGAGTTAATAAGAAAAACAAGCAAACAATAACCAACTATTGAAGTGCAGTTATCATGATTTGGTGACTATGACATAACTATTCTTTAATTTATGCTAGCAAAAGTATTAGAACATGTATAGCTGAAAACTGTATAAAGTTTTTAAATTTGGTTGCAGCAGCACCCACCCTAAAAGGGATGGTGATAGAATCCATAATTCCTGGTATGTACTCACATTCTAGGAATTATAGGAAGTCATGCATGTCATTTAGAGTTCACGGTGGAAGAGGAGGACATGATTTAAGCTCATGGATCCATTTGTTTCTTTGATAGAAACATCATCTGACACGTAAAGAATGATGTTTATTTTTTTTTAAATAATAATTAACTACTTTCCCTTGCCTTAGATCTGGTACTCTGCAATGTATTATCAGATTCATCCAGTATCTAAAGTTTATCATAAATAAATATAGAACCGGTCCAATGCTAATGAGACCCACAAGGTGGAAACGGTAGAGTCCATGGCTGCTTTCTCATCACTAATACATTTGGATCGCAACCCATGCTATGGCTAAACGTGATGGAGACAGGTCTCTTTTCAGTCTAGGTGACCATGTAATATGGTTTTTTTAAAAAGCAGTGTTTAAAATAGCCTCCGCGAGGCATGGCACTCAAGATGGACGGACGTGTTTCCACATAGGTCTGGCCCTCTAAACTAAATATAAACTACATTTTGGTGGTGCAGAAAACAACTTGCTAAGACAAAAGACCGATACTAAAAACACCTGTACCCCTTTTGGAATCTGTGGCCTAGTGCTACCAACAACTGGGAGGGGCAGACTATCTCCAATGCTACCCACTAAACCCTCTGTACAGCCTTGTTACTCACCTCCCCCTTCGACCGGTGGGGGATATCCCGGTCCCCACCAGAGAACAAAACTACACCTTACAGGCAAAAGTTTGTCACTAGATCCTCATGGCTCACCTAAGATGGCTGCTGCTACGGCTGAACCGCAGTCACATTGAGAAGCCAAATTCCATGCGGCCTTTGAGGACTTATGGACCCGAATTGAGTCCCGCCACAAGCGCCACATACCCACATCGGCTGAGCCCACAAATGTCTCCAGCAGTGTTCTGGCACCCCCTCCCCTCTTCTGGGCCACGAACCAAGACGGTCCACAGACCCACCAGCTACCCGCAAGCACGGGGAGTCTTACCAGCATGGGTAGTGGAGATGCAGTACAGCTGTCATTCTGACCCCTGCTGCCTGGGGGATCCCCACCTGTGGCAGGAAAGCGGACTCACCAGGCACCTTGTGACTGACAGTGGAACTGACTCCCAACTACAACAAAATTGTGGCATTGGCAGAAGCGGGGACGTTGGCTTGTTTCAAGCCTATCCTACTGGTTCTACTTATTTTTTATTTTTCTGTATCGTGGCTTCTTATTATCTACACTGTTTTTGCCTCTAGCTATCCTGCCCTTTTATTAACTCCTGTGCCTTGTGTATTATAGGCAACACAGCCTGCCTCTTACATGATCGCTCTTAAAGGGACACTATAGTCACCTGAACAACTTTAGCTTAATGAAGCAGTTTTGGTGTATAGAACATGCCCCTGCAGCCTCACTGCTCAATCCTCTGCCATTTAGGAGTTAAATCCCTTTGTTTATGAACCCTAGTCACACCTCCCTGCATGTGACTTGCACAGCCTTCCATAAACACTTCCTGTAAAGAGAGCCCTATTTAGGCTTTCTTTATTGGAAGTTCTGTTTAATTAAGATTTTCTTATCCCCTGCTATGTTAATAGCTTGCTAGACCCTACAAGAGCCTCCTGTATGTGATTAAAGTTCAATTTAGAGATTGAGATACAATTATTTAAGGTAAATTACATAGTTTGTTTTTCATGCAGGCTCTGTCAGTCATAGCCAGGGGAGGTGTGGCTAGGGCTGCATAAACAGAAACAACGTGATTTAACTCCTAAATGACAGTGAATTGAGCAGTGAAATTGCAGGGGAATGATCTATAGATTAAAACTGCTTTATTTAGCTAAAGTAATTTAGGTGACTATAGTGTTCCTTTAACCCATTGTTCTATCTGGTGGCATTTCCCCAACCATGTTTAAACCTCAAAATCTTGATTATCTATTCTGTCAGATTGCACAGTTTGATTATATAGTTATTATTGACCACTCATCTACTGACCTATAACACCTGAGCATATTTATTATTGTTTTTTCTTTAAAAAAATAAAATAAATGCAGCATATTTTGACTCAGCATACCTGCATACATCTTCTTAACATAGCATATTTCCTGATATTAATCATTGCTTACTCCTACATGTAACACTGCACTCCAAAAATAAAGAATTATAAAAATAATAATAATTAGCCTCCATTGCCAAGGGTACCTTCAGAAATGCAGAATTACGTCGGAAGCACGATGCCTGTATTTGTCATTTGCATGTCAAGCTGGTAAACTCTTCATAGTTGTGGAAGTATGATTTCTTGAGTCTATGTGCCCAAGGAGGACTTTCCAAAATCCAACTTAAGATATACAGGTGATGCACAACAGTATTGTTTGCAATTACACAGTGGGGACTTTTGTGTTTGGTCTCACCACAAAAAAAATATATATGCACACACAGACACACACACATATATATCATATATATATATATATATATATATATATATATATATATATATATACACACACAGACACACACACACATATATATATATACACACACACACATATATATATATATATATATATATTTAAACAAAATAACAAGGACACAGTATTTGCTACAGTATTTTTTTTTATGAAAAGGGAGCACACAGAACTGTTCAACAAAACAAATAGCTTAAAAAAAAAAAAAAAACATGAACAAACAAAAAAAAGGACAAACTCTTTCCACAGCAAGATTGTCTGGAAAAACCGTGGTGTCTGAAAAAGGCAGTAAGTGCTTTATCTGGTACAATGTACCAGCATTAAATCCTTTTCTCATTTACATTAAGTACAGTACAAATACATTTCTGTGAGCTGAGCTTGTGTATATGTGCAGGTGTGATCCCAGGTCATTTACAAACACAAATATGAAATAAAAAATACTTTTCTAGTCATTAGACTGAGTTGAACCTTTTTGTTCACGTTAACTGTAGATTGTTTACAGTTTTAAAAGAATTTAAAATTTCTCTCTCTCTATATATATATTTATGGTGAACTACATATATGCATATGTATATGTATGTATATATATATAATATGATCAGTGTGTTTGTATACATGATAATATATAACACACACACATTAAACATATAATACATACACAAACATACGTATCTAGGTGAAAATGTAATCCATCTGATGACTATGTACATGAAAAACCATGGGAGGTTTGGTCCAGGATGTAGTGTTTTAATATCTGGACCATTGATCTACTTGTTAGAGACACCCAGCTTGCTCTCACTATAAATTATATTCCCAGGTAAGATTATCCGTGAAGCCTTTTGTGATTTCTAATTTTTTTTTTTTTCCCTTCCAAAAAAATAATACAAGTCTTTGTGCATTGTGGGTATTATGCGCCACCATCTTTTTTTTTTTTTTTTAAGTACTGTTTTCCATATTCACAATCGGCTATTACACCCTGAAGAAACAAAAAGTCCAGAAGTTTATTTCTCCACTGATTTAATGTTATATGGTTGAGAGTTCTCCTCATGCTTTTCCTTATTTCTTTAGTGTTCTTGGGATTTGACGCACATCCCACAATCATAACAAACTGTTTTCTTTAATCATGTATCGGTTCAGCGAGCATGGACTAAGGCTCAAATAACATTCAATCCATCTGAAGTTTGTGTGGGTCAGAAACATATTGTACCCAATATGGAAAATATTTAGCAGAATTTTCCAAACTATATGATGTTAGTACTACTAATGACATTATATTTCGGAGAGTGATGTGCTGGGAGTAGTCAGATTCCCTTTGTATAAACATTAGTGTATGATTAGTCAAGACAAAGTCTGTTAAATCGGTTACGATTCGCAAAAAAGATTTCTGTATGTTCAACAGATAACAGGCACTCCATCTGTGTTAAATATCATTCCTGTGGTGGGTTCATATGTTCCAGCCAGGTAATAAAGATCTTCACTATCCTGGTACTTTTTCGTCTTTCGCATCTGCTCATATTGCTCAATAGCAACCACCAGACATTTGTGAGACACAGTCTGAACATCATTCTCATCGACATGAGAGGACTGATACAAGGCACGCTAGTACAAAGAAGCAACAAATTAGGAAACAAGATATTTACACTGGACATTTAACTGTTTTTGTATATACAGTAAAATAAACTGAACTAAACCAGTGATTTATAGACCCTTGGTACAAACCCAAAAATTGAAATCAATAATATTAAAGTAGGACTATGTATTGAAATAGGAACACTACTTGTCAAAACCCAGGCAACTCCCCACAACAAATTGCTTCTCTAGTTCAAATAAAACACTGACACTGGGAAGAATGTAAAAAAATAAATAAATAAAAATACATTTGAAAATATAATTTTGCAGTTATTAGATTACCATGAATAATTGGTTATTACTATCCTAATGTTTACACAATTACGGTTACTGTCAAAATGGATAAGGTACCATTGTGCTAAATGTAAGGTATTTAACATTAAAACTGTTGAAAGCGTAAAGCTTCACATAAATCCTCTGTAAACAATGGATGCTATACATTTACTGTGAAAGGCAGCTATATTTTCCTCCTTTATTTATGCCAGTGAATCACATAAGATATATGATCACCCAATCCATTGTTTTCCTTGTGGAGATATGCAGTGAACTGGGATGCTTAATAATTATATGTGACTGAAGTAACTTTTATAAGGATAACACGAAACAACCAATTATTTTTATGTGGAACATATGAATTTGCTCATGGATTTCCAACCTTCCCCCCTTCAAAATAAAAAGCTAAGAAACATGTCCTTTAGCAGCCCTTCTTGAGCAGTGCAACTCAAAAGGCAAGAAATATTAAATAATTAGGAAATACAGGCAATTTGTTTTACTTTGTATCTGTCTTGCAGCATTTGCTGTGCACTTTACATTTTTTGATTTCTTGTAATGGCCAGACTTAATAATGAAGTTCTGATTTCATGGAGCCACCTTGGAGCATGTTGAGAGACACTAACATTGCAACAGTGGAATCGACCATGAATGTGATCAGTGGAATGAGCATCAGGGCAAATGTGATTTGAAAACATCTATTATCAACCAATGTCACCAACTACTGCTATACAGTTAATAGCAGGGGCGGACTGACAAGTCGTGCACTTCGGACATGATCCGAGGGCCCGCCGCCAGGGGGCCCGGCGGCAGGGCTGGATTTGGGGCAGCATCTGGGGACTGCGGAAGTAGGTGCCACCGGGTGGCCAGTCCGGTGGCACACTCTGAGGGGGCAGGCCACGTTCCAGGCTGGAGCCGCAGGGCCGGGTGGCAGCCTCGCCGGTCCGGCGGTACTCCTGTCCTGTCTTTAATGCTGAGGACGGAAGGAGGGAGGAGCATGTCTCTCTCTCCTGCTTCCTTGCGGTTCCCACATCCTGTGCTGAGAATTGTGGGAACCGCAAGGGAGCAGGAGAGAGAGACATGCTCCTCCCTCCTTCCGTCCTCAGCATTAGAGACAGGACAGGGAACATGGCCGGCCCCCTCTGTCTTCTCTTGGTAAATGGGGGGAGGGGGGGGAGGAATAAAACAGAGAGGGGGAATAGACAGAGGCAGGGGAAGAGGGAAGAAACAGACAATGGGAGAATAGAGAGACACAGGGGGAGGGTAAGGAAAGAGACAGAGAGAGAGGAGGGAAAGGAAGGAGAAAGAGACAGAGGGGAAGAGTGACACAGGGAGAAAAGAGAGGGAGATGGTGGAGGGGAGAAAGAGACAGAGGGTAAGAGAGATGTGGGGTAGAGACAGACACAGGGAAAGGGGAAGAAAGAGACAGTGGAAGAGAGACACAGGGAGAAAGGAGAGAGACACACAAGGGAGGGGGAGAAAGAGGCAGAGGGGAGAAATTGGACACAGGAGCAGTGAGGGGGAGAAAGAAACATACAGAGCGACTGGGGGGACAAAAAGGCACACAGAGGGGCTGTATATATCACTGGTGGATCCCACCCCCTGCCGATCTCTTTCCCCGGTCTGCAGGCACCGTGCGGGCAGCCGGCAGGGGAGGGAGGAAGAGAGGACCCAGGAGCTCATCCTGCAGCTCCTCTGGTTCCTCTTCGTGCGAGCACAGAGCGTTGCCGTGGCTTCGGCTCTTGCGAGAGTGACCTCTAGCCCTGGAGCTACGGGATAAAGTTCACTCTCAACACTGCGACCACCAGGGATTCCTGGTGGTCGCAGTAGTAAGAGTGAACTCTAGCGCAATACACACACTGTCCCCACACACACACACACCCTACACATTCACACACTGCCCCCCACACACACCTACACACACCCTACACATTCACACACTGCCCCTACACACACACACACACATTCACACACCCCCCCACACACACACACTGCCCCCCACACAAAAACACCATACACATTCACACACTGCCCCCACACACACACACCCCCCACACATTCACACACCGCCCCACACACACACACACACCATCCCCTACACACACACACACACATACACATTCACACACCGCCCCCACACACAAACACCATACACACACACACACCGCCCCCACACACACATTCACACACCGCCCCCACACACCCTACATATTCACACACTGCCCCCACACACCGCCCCTACACACACACACACACACCATACACATTCACACACCATACACACACTGCCCCCCCCCACACACCATACACATTGCCTCACACACACACTTTACACATTGCCTCACACACACACTTTACACATTGCCTCACACACACACACTTACACTGCCCACCCATCCACACATACCCCCATACTAACACTGCCACACACATACACAGCCCCCCATACACACATTGCCCCAGACACCCTAAACATTCACACACTACACCCCTCCAAACACACACACACATTGAACCTTTCACACACACTGCACCCTTCACACATTGCACCACTGCTCCTATACCCTACTACACCCGCATATCCCAGCAGACCCCAAGTAAGTTTTCAAACTGTTTGACTACGTACTCTGGGAGGGGATCCCAGCCCTCCTGGCACCATATCCACTAAACAGAGCCGCAGCAAGCAAGCCCACATCCTTCCAGCAAGCCCACAGACTGCCAGCCAGCAACAGCAATTAAGGTAAGAGGAGCCAACTTGGCCTAGGTATCAGCAAGCTATGTTGTGTTGCTATATTGTGAATAGGGACCAGAGTGTTGGAGAGACCATCCTCCAGGCCCCATTAGACTCCATTGTAGTCTCTAATGGGGCCTGGAGGAGATTCTTTCTAACACACTCTCTAAAGGACACTGAGATGGCCTCTGCTAGAAATCCTCTCCATGGCCCATTAGCCCTCAATTGTAGTCTCTACTGGGGCCTGGAGGCGACTGTTTCCAGCGGAGGCTATCTAATGGACGCTGAGATGGCCTCTGCTAGAAAGACCCCCTTCCAAGCCTATTAGACTCCATTGTAGT